CGTCCTAAGGATGAACCTGCCACGTGGGTTTGCACACTATGCAAAATTCCTAGCCAAAGCTGTAATGATTTCATCAACCATCTCAAGAGTACAGCTCATTCACAACAAGTAAGCATCCTTTGCCTCCCTACTCTCTAACCATTGTAAGAAAATATCCTCATGTTATCTTTTTTTTAAGCAGTTGTGAAGATCGGTGCGTGTAGACAAGAACCAATAACCCTATGATTTTTTGCAAAATTTGCAAATATCCTGGCTACGACGATCATAATATGAAGATCCACCTGACCAGCGAAGAACATGCACAGAAAGTAAAAGTAAAAATCCTTTTCTTTCCCTCCTAGACTAATAAGCTTGTATATCATTACATTTGTTATCTTTTTCCACACTTGATGGGCGTTTGGTTGTCAAGCAGGAGCGGGCGGCAACACAACTCAAGAAGAGGAGCATATCGTGACCAAAGGCGAACAAGACGAAGAACAAGAAGAGTGCATGGCCCATGGCAAATCCCTTTCCATTTACTTGGGACTGAAGGAATTCTGGTATCGTCAAAGCTAGGACTTTCAGGCCAAACTCCGGTATCAAGAACGTCGATAATTGTGCCTTGGCCTAAAAACTCAATAACTATTGACACCTTACAATTAATTAGGAACGCCACCTTTGTCGATTATAGTTAGGCTAATCACATTAGCAAATATATTATTAATTGGCTTACTTCATTCAAAATTATTCACAACAATTTCATAAATTGACTTGATTTCCTTAGTAACAGGTACGGAACTATTGAACTCGAGAAGATACATTTGAATGAGAAGGATTGCAACTAAACACTCGATTATAGACAAAGTTGAACGAAGACCATCACTGGTTAAAAAAATCCTATTGATTATTTTTCTTCTTTGTTCACCTTTTACTTAAAACGAAAATTCAAAAGAATCATAATTGTGGAGCTTGCTATGTACCTTTAATCGACCATTAATGTTTTTTGGACGTCAATCTATCATTTGTTCATTATTATATTTTATGTGTCAAAATGCAAATTAATATTGGATTTGCGGTCTCTTTTTAAATCTTAGATAGTTTAACAATTGTATTTTAGAAAGAAAAATAATCGTTAATTTCGACCCGCACAATATCATTCAATAGCCAATCGTGCTTATAAGTATGTCAATATTCGATGATTATTAGGTTAAGTGAGACAAATAATTCCCTTAAAATTTCCAACTCTTCAAATACATTTTGCAATATTAATTGGAAGTTATTTTTTTCTGGAATGGAATCCTCATAAAGTTTTCTATATGTAAGAAAAAATAACCTTTCCCCTTTTTTGTTTTAAGTTTTAAGTTAACCTCTTGACAAAAATATTATCTTTAACCAAAGCAATAAATCTTCTAAAGATTCCACATTTAAAAAAAAAACGGAAATTTCAAAATTTAACATACGAATGCAGTAATGTTAGATTTCCATTTGTCAGAAAAATTTCATTGAAAGTATATATTTATTGAAAATTAAACTACAATTATTGGCTAAGAGATATCCCTATAAAGATTGTCTTTACGAATGCATCTGTCCTTTTGACAAAAGCTTCAGAGATTTTTGCTCTTGTTGTGTCCTCGAACCAGAGTCCTCGACAGAGAGCATTCTTGCCTTTCGCATTCAATTTTTATGAGGTAAATATTGTTTAATTTGACGCAAATTACAATCTTGATCAAATCATATATATACTCCATAGAAAGATTGTTTTAGGGAGAGGATTATGTGTAGATGATGATTAGGTAACGCAAGTTAACTGAGTCACTATTACAAGAGTAAGAATCAGAGATTGGAGAAAGGAGAGAGAAATAGTTTTTAAGACCTTTTAAGGAT